GTGTGTGTGTGTGTGTGTGTGTGTGTGTGTGTGCGCACACATGTAAATCAGTTCTAAATTAGTTTTAGTTTAAGAGGACTATTGGTCATGGCCTTTCTCTCCCAGTGTGCAGACTTATATGTGCATTTACACACCGTTATTGCACAAACACAAAGGCTAAAGCTGAAAGCAGAGGCAGCCCCTGGACCCCAGGTCTCACGGTGTCCTTAAAGGAAATTTAAAAATCATTTTATTAATGTACATTTAGGACAGATTTTTAAAAATCAGTGATTAATTTAAAGATTTAAAGATAATCTAACTGTGGACAATCATGCAGTTGATTACGATTAAACATTAAATACAGGAGCAGAGGTCTTCCTTTCTTGGGGCTGTCATCATGTGAGTCAGTTTCCACATTATGCATGCTGCACACCACACGGCAGTTAAGCTTCAAATTTAAAAAAGGAAAATTCCATTGGAATAACTCAGGCTTAAAGTCTTTAACAAGAATCTCACCAAGCCGTTTTACTCCAAGTGAGAAAGGCATGTAAAACCAAATCAAATATGTGGCTCATCAAGAACAACATTTCCACAGAACTCAGGTTAACAGTGACCACCTTTGATGCTGTTGGCCAACAGGATGTGGTGGGAACAGTGCTGCTGCCGGCAAAAGACAAAGGAAGAGAAGATGGGAAAGGTGTGATCTGAGGCAGCAAGAGAGAAGAAAGGCAGGATTGTAGAATTGAAAGAGACTGTCAGACAGTATCATGAGCGTGATGTTAGTTAGCAGTAAAAAAAGGAATTTTGGAGTAACGCAAACGGATTCTTTTCCTTTTCTTTTTCCTAACTCTGTCTTTTTATTTTTTTCACCCCGACAGATGAAAGAGAAGACGTTCAGAAGAAGACTTTCACAAAATGGGTAAACTCACAATTGGCTAAGGTAAGAGAGCTTCCTGCGTCTCTAACTTGCACCTGCACACCTTACACCCAGTGAGAAGTCATTTCATCAGTGTGAAATAGTATCCATCTCTTGCAAGCATATCTTGGGTCTTTAGTAGGTTGAGCTCTGTGAATTCATCATCTTTTCTGTATTGACATTCTGGTTTCATATGTAAGGTTCCAACAACCCTGTGAATGAACCAGGATAGTGTTTTTCATAACTGGTAACATTATATCCAGTTTGATCTATGATAACATTTACATATGAATATGAATACATATAGATATGATGATAAAGAAGCTTTAGAACCATGTTGCATTAATCAGTTATTCTCCAGATGAGTTTTTCTGTGGTGAGTCATTTAAGCTGACTTTGGAGATCATGATTACATTCATACCAAATAACATTTATGGTTTCACAGATAAAGAAATGTCAGAATCTCAGCTAAAAGCTCACCATTTCCAGGACCACTAAACACCACTAGAACAACAAAAAATTAAAGAGCAGGTAAAAAGATTCTGCAAAAAGATGTAAACACAAATTTCCCCCATTCACCCAATGACGCACATAAACAATGTCTCTGCTGAAAGCACAGATCTCTGTAGAGTTAAATCTACTAAAAGATCTATCATCTAATACAACCTCCCACACTTGTAAAAAGTCTCACAAGTGTTAGCTTTACTTTGATACCAACATAGATTTACACAGGGTTTGTAATTGTAGAGAAATAATAAATTCATTTTGGTCATGTCTCAACCTCAAAAGGCTCCTAGTGTTACAAAGGTTATGAAGAGAGGTCATGATCCAGTAGCACCTGCATAGCTCCAAGAAAGAGCACTACAGATGTAATATTTGCTTTGTGTTCTGTCCAGACAAGCATGGCAAGCAGAGCAGTGCTTGCTGAGTCAAATCTAAAAATAGACAGAAATTAAAACATATCAAATTGGATGCTATCTCTCTCCTTTAATCTCGAATAGCTTAAACTTAAAATGAAGGAGAAAGCCAAATTTCTCCTTTTAGCTCAAACTACATAAACAAAAAGCTTCTCACCTGATTTGATCTATCACTTAAATTACTATCATGCTGTGGCTGCAATTGGCTATTGTTGCTGAAGCACACTATCCCTTTGTTCCCATTTGAAACTGCTGCGTGTCTTTGTTTCATGGGCAAGCCGACCTTTTTAGTTTGATCGTGGGCATCAGATGTGATGGGAGAGGTCTTTAGTACCTGGTAGACCGGGAATGATATGGCCCCGAAGGGCACTCCTGGATTCCAAGGTCTGCCGTCTTATACTAATTCATTGGACTTTCACCATAAAATACTTTTAAAAAGTGGGTAGGTCACTCTGTATAGAGATAATGATTGAGTGGAAACAGTGGATTTGTCTGCATTATAGCCCTGGGCCTTACTAACTGGAAAACACTTTGCTTTAAACATTGTTCCGACTTTTTTTGGAAATTACTTTTAAACTTTTCTTCCAAGTCCTCAATATAGAGTTCAAGCTGCATAGCTGGTTATGAAAATATCACAAATGTTTGAATTGAGCTCAGTCTTAAATATCTTTAGCATTATTGTTAATCCATAAAACTCTCTGCTTGTCTTTGTGTCAAAGTCACTGCATGCTACTGGTTGGTGGACAAATATAGAGGAGGTCAGAAGGAGTTGCACAGTAGAGAATCCATATGGTTTCACACTAAGAGAGAGAAACTGTGGTGCTGTGAGGAAGTCAGGAGTACGAGAGACGTATGTGAGGATAGTGCACGACATGTATGAGCTGGTGAGGTGTGCAATAGGAGTCAAGGTGGAGGTCTGATTACATCAGGGATTGACTCTTAGCCCCTTTTTGTTTGCAGTGGTGATGGACAGGATGACTGATGATGACAGGCAGGAGTCTGTGGTAGTAAAGATAGTAGTAGATGGCACTGATTTGTTTGAGCAAGTGAAAGAGAT